AAAGGCAGCGTCCCCTCAAACTGGTAGATACCGGAATTTTACGACCTTGTGTTGAGGACCCCTCAGCTCGGAAGTCGTACCGGCCCCGCCCACTTACAGGCCCCGCCCACTTCTTACATGTAATTTGGGGCGGCCGCTGACAGCGGCAGCCTTCGAAAAAAGCTCAATTTGCCATTTTCATGCGCTGAAAGCCTACATATGGCTTCAGCATAGCGAGAAGGCTCTAAAAGGTGAAAAATCGGAAAGCGAATTTTTGAGGGGACACTGCCTTAAAAAACTTCGAAATGCAAAGAATCTCACCAATAACTGATGATGCACCAAATATGTCTGAGTAGGCTCAAAATGTGTCAAAATCATCACAATCTAAAATATGAGATCTAGAAACAATGTAAACACCAAGCTCTTGAAATACCTGTCGACTAAGTGGTGGGATAGAATCTGCAACGTCCAAAGTCCCTCGTGACGACAGCACATTTATGGAGTTAGAACATTCAACTCTGAGTGAAAAGAAGTTGATAAACAGAGGCACAAAGAACAAGCGTGAAATACGTACTTTACATGCACATACATATCCTCCAGAACATTATCCACCATTAACAATAAACCAGAAAAATCTTCTGTTATGTAGCGAGGGTATACACCATTTAAAGACTGAAAATTTGGAAAATTAGCATATAAAATAAGACATTATGAGCTTCAACACCAACAACTCACGCTATGGAGTCTCCCTTCCTTCAAAGCGAGTTGAACCAGTGAATCCGTGTACAATGCCGAAGAGCAAGGCACCATATCAGCAAAAGTTGGCTTGGAGCTAAAAAAAACATCACTGACAATCTCCCTCACAGCCTCAGCCGTACCTATGAATGGCTAAAAATCCTTGAATCTTTCGCGATCCCAATGTAGACAGACTATGGCATATGACGATATAGTATCCAGGGCGCAAGAAGACGTCCCCTGAAAGCGAATCGACTCACTTGGAAATCCATAAAATTGCCCTTGCAAATGTATTAAACAAAATGACAGAAGAAAAGTAGTCAGTGTAGAGCACCTGTGCTAACAAAAGCCTCCAACTTCCGAGGAGAGCGGCAAACGAGCTCTCCGATGGTTCCCGAGGCCGAAACCATATGTACACAAATCATGAGATCCACCTGCAATATATCGCTGATGATTATTTTGAAATCGGAAACCAAATTCATATAGAACCTGATCATGCGCCGTACGAGCTCCGCTCTGGAACAACGTAAGGCAAATCTCCGTCGGCTCCTCGATGAGAATTCGGACTGCTCTGAAGTAACCATATACACAGTGTCCCAAAAAAATGTGCCTACTGTTTGATTGTTAAT